TTTTTGTATTTGATAAAAAAATTAGTATAAAACAAATTAATAAAAAAATTAATAAATAAGTCTTATATAGGGAAAGTTTAAGGGAAATTTTTTTTTCTTTTTTCTTTTCTTTTTTTTTTCTTTTTTCTTTTTTTCTTTTTTCTTTCTCCTTCTCATTTCCCTTTCTCTTTCTCCTTCCCCTTCCCCTTCTCCTTTCCCTTCTCTTTCCCCTCGGAACCCAACAGGCTTGGGTTCCTTCAAACCCACCCAGGCGCTGGGTTCTTTGTGAACCCAGGCAACATGCTTGGGTTCGGTTCCTTGCGAACCCAGCGCCTGGGTTCGCAAGGAACCCAAGCGTACTGGGTTCGTGTTTGGTGCTGGGTTCGCGTCTGGGTTCGCACCGAACCCAGCATGCCTGGGTTTGGTGGAACCCAGCACGCTTGGGTTCGGTTCCTTGCGAACCCAGGCGAACCCAAGCGTGCTGGGTTCGCGCCTGGGTTCACACCGAAACGCTTTTGCCTGGGTTCGCACCGAACCCAGCATGCTTGGGTTCGGTTCCTTGCGAACCCAGCGCCTGGGTTCGCAAGGAACCCAAGCGTACTGGGTTCGTGTTTGGTGCTCGGTTTGCGTCTGGGTTCGCACCGAACCCAGCATGCCTGGGTTTGGTGGAACCCAGCACGCTTGGGTTCGGTTCCTTGCGAACCCAACGCCTGGGTTCGCAAGGAACCCAAGCGTACTGGGTTCGGTGCGAACCCAGGCAAGCGTGCTGGGTTCGGTTCCTTGCAAACCCAGCACCTGGATTCGCAAGGAACCCAAGCGGGCTGGGTTCTTCGATTTACTGGGTTCTCGATTTGCCAGGTTTGATTTTTTTTTAAAATATTTATGTTTAGAAGCTTGAATTTTATGGATATTTTTGGATTGCAGCTGATTATTTTGCTAGTGAATATTTTGTTTGTGTGGGTTGTTCTCATTGAGAATTTGGCAAAATTTGGTTGAGAGAAAAAATTTGCCCAGCAGATCAAGAACCCAGCAGATCACTGGGTTCGATCAAGAACCCAGCCATCTGCTGGGTTCTTGAGAACCCAGCGAGGGTTCGAT